TCGTCTCCCGAGTTGTCAAGCGAGTTCTACGCAGTCATGCTTCTTGTTGATTCCGTCATTTGCTGCAGAGCTTCGCCCGCGCAGAAAGCACTGCTTGTCAGGACAGTACGATCACAGCTACGAACCTCGCCGAAGATGAAAACACGTGGTCTGACCCTGGCAATTGGTGATGGTGCCAACGACCTTGCCATGATCCAAGCAAGTCATGTCGGCGTTGGCATCTCCGGGAAGGAAGGCCTCCAGGCCGCCCGTGTCGCTGACTACTCCATCGCTCAGTTCAGGTTCTTGCAGCGGTTGCTTCTTGTACACGGCCGATGGAACTACGTGCGCACTGCCAAATTTATTATCTGCACCTACTGGAAGGAAATGTTCTTCTATCTTTCTGCCGCACAATATCAGAGGTATAACGGTTACACTGGTACTTCCTTGTATGAGGCCGCCAGCTTGACTGTGTTCAATACACTTTTTACCAGTCTCTGCACAATCTGCATGGGTATCTGGGAGCAGGATCTACAGGCCGAAACGCTCCTAGCGATCCCAGAGCTATATGTATTCGGACAGCGCAACAAGGGTTTGAACCTCCAGAACTATGTTTTGTGGATGCTGCTTGCGGTCGTCGAGGGTGTGATTTGTTGGTACGGTGCGTGGACAGGGTACGGCTGGATTGTACCAAGCGGGCAGGATACCAAGTCGCTTTACTCCCTCGGTCAGTTGGTCTTCACTATCGGCGTTTTCTGGATCAACTGGAAGCTATTGTAAGTTGGCCCTTTCTTTCACTCCCAAGGTGCTTGACACATTGGGGTTCATTATGCGACTTTTACTAATGGTTTATCGTGCACGCAGCATTTTCGAAACTCACTTCAAGACAACTATAGTGATGTTTTCGTTCTTCCTGACCACCTGGGGTTGGTTCGCGTGGAACGCCTTTCTCAGTGGTGTATATGCCAAATTCCCTTCAGGCCCTTATGCAATCCGCGACTCCTTCACTCAACTCTGGGGGCGAGATCCCACCTGGTGGGCAACCCTGTTCCTGGTCCTGTCATTTCTAGGCCTCATGGAACTCGTGGGTAAACTGGCCATAAAACAGATCCGCACATCTGGACAGAAGGGTTCGAGCGGCAACATGGAGGATTGGGACCTGGAAACATGGCAGGAGATGGAGCATAATCCCGAAGTGAAGCAGTACCTGGAGAGGCTGGCTAGGGATGGTGATGACGAAGACGAAATTTATGACGATGTTATGGAAATGGGGATAGACTCGACTGATTTGCCCGGGGACAAGGGCGGCACCTTCCGAGAGCATGTCATCAAGCTGGGAAACATGCTGCCCTCGCTCAATCGGGGCACTGCGAAATAGTGGCAGGTTTCCACGTTGTTTGCCATTTCGGCGTTTATGATTGCAACGATACCAGGGGGGCATGGTGAACATAAAACATATACATTTGGCTGGTTTAGATTATACATACCTCAACATAATACAGTACATATCTACTCGACTTAACACTAGGTGATGGAAGTAATCAGATGTGAAATTAAAGGCCAATGATAAGTAGGGCATTTTCTGCAATGACTATAGTGACAATTTCTGGTTTAATGTCTTTTAAATCTTTACTATTCGCCCTTCAAAGGATAATAGTAACCGGTCACGGGTTTAGAAATACGTAAGGATGTTATGCTTGAGTTTATCAATTTCAATGCCGCCAGTTGATTACTTATGAAGTAGGTTTCCAAAGAAGGCAATCGGAGGAAGCAGTCTAAACTCTATTTCACCGCTTTATCCTCCTCGTCCTTTGCGCTCCTCACAACACCCTCGTCGTCGCTTCTGTATTTCACTGGCTGGGGAGTGGTAGGCTTCCCGATGACTTCCAAAGTGCGGAACGCCAGCGGGACGATGAGGACTGCCGCTGCACCCAGCCCAAAGTTCATCCAACTCGCAGCCCGGATACCTTTGAGAGTGGCAAAGTCCCAGGCTTCCATTGCTCCAGCGTCCTCGATCGGCACATGCCTGGCGTTTGCCATGATGGATGTTTGAACAGCAGTACTGATAGCAAGACCGATTGATCGGCCAAGCTGGCCAGAGGCGTTGATGAGAGCTCCGCCAATAGCTTGATCCTTTTGGGGCAGAGAATGCGATGTAAACAGCGTGAGTGACGGCCAGCATGTGTCTGCACCAATAACCGCAAGTATCATGGCGGGTAGGCCCCAAGCGAAGTAGGAGGTACTCGGCGGAATTGGGACCGCAAAAAGAATACAAGAACCGCACATGGCTATAGTGCCGCAAGTCAGGATGTACACAGTAGGAACCCAGTGCAAGAGCTGGGACACGATGGCAGCGATAATAGCACCGGACACTCCAGTTGGTATGAAACGCAGCGTGGTCTGGATTGGTGATAGGCCCTGGAAGCTCTGGAAATAGTAGGTAGCAAAAACCAAGTAGTTGTTGAAGGCGGCGAAGAAGAGCCCCATAATGACGATGACGGCACTGAAGCGGGTATTTCGAAACAGAGAGACTTTGAGAAGAGGCGAACGGTCAGGTAGGCGAGTCTCAATATAGTTCTGCCAGTAGACAAAGGCAGCTATGATGAGGAAGGACACCACGATGAGAACCGGAATCCAGGGTGTCGCCCAGCCGACCACATTACCTTCAGTCAAGGCAACCATGAGAGCAAGGAGCCCCACGGTGATGAGGAACCCTCCGACCCAGTCGATAGCTGGCCTCTTTTTGCCTTCGTCGTCTTCCTTCGAAGGCGTAGGGGTAGGAGGGATGACAAAGATTCCAGCAGCAGATATGATACCAGCCATGATAGCGGTTGCGCCGAAGACCCATTTCCAATTTGCGTATTCAGCAATAAGACCGGATATGATGTTTCCACATACACTTCCTAGAGGTGCTCCCGCAGCTATCGCGTTCAGAATTGAAGGTTAACACAAGGGTCCCATCTGTAGCTCAGGAGGCCTGCTGGGGTAGCATATTGCTACCAGTAAAAGGGGGGGAGAATGGGAACAAAAGATCATACCATATGTACTAAAAGCATAGTTCTTTGCCTTTCCAGGAGGGAATGTCACTCCCAAGATGCCAATTGCTGTCGGCACATTCGCAGCAGCCCCCTGAAGAGAGAAAAGACATGTCAGCAAGTCTGCACGAGGCTTCCTGTTTCGAGAGAAATCGTAGCGGAATGCGAAGTAGACAGGTGTAAAAACTAACCAATCCATGCAGTGCCCTGAACAAATCGAAAGCAATCTCATTGGGCAAAAACGCGTTGGCAGCCGCAATGGCCGTGACCCAGATGGAGCCCCCGATGAAGATGAGACGCTTGCCGTAGACGTCTGCGATGCGGCCCCAGATGAGCAAGAAGCAGCCGAAGGTGAGTGAGTACGAGGAAACAACCCACTGGAGCCGAGTTTCGGGGATGTCGAGAGCTTCACCGATAGTGGGAAGAATAATGACGACACTCATTATTGAGAGAGTCTGTTAAAGAGGTCATGTTAGTCAATGGGCGTCAATATAGCCATTATCAGGGATATTGGGCCTATACGTTGAGGAATGAAGCACCAGTGAGAGTAGCCACAAGAGCGATGCATCTTGCTTTGGAGAAGGGCAATTGAGGCGGCTGCTCCGTTTCAACTTCATCAAATCGCGCCTGCCCGGACTTCTTCTCCTCCTCGGTCGCAACTCCCTTTTCCCCAGAGCCCGCTCCTTCCTGCTCAACTCCTTCCCATCGCTCTGGCGCTATCTCCGGCCCCCGAGAGCTGCTCTTCCTCGGGGCATCGGCGGTGTCCGATTTCGGTGAGGCAGCAGAACTACCTGCGGGAATTACCATGATCACCGGGATTAGAGTAAGACTTGACGACGGCCTTTGTGTGGCCTTGCAGGGACGGATAACCGATGCGAAAAGGGGCGGGAATGAACCGCTCAGTTTCTCTCTCGGAGTTGGAGGGAAATGCCGGCCATCCAATTCTACGAAACTAACGGACAGAAAATTGGCTACGACATAATAGCCGGGGCCCGCGACTTGGTTGGCGGCCTTCCGAACCCGGTTGACATCCGCTTACCACGGATCCTATCAAGCAGGCAATATATGGAGAGAGCGGCAGCACACCGCCGGTGTCGCAATCTGCGCCCCCGATGACAACACTCATGTCCCGCCGAAGTTGACTACCAGAAAGGGAGGTGGTGATGGCCGCCCATTGGCAGCCTTACATCCGCATACCCCCTGCATTTACGGAGAGTGAGAGAGAGAGAAACCAATATGTAAAGGCTCCAAAGTAACACCTGTGTTTTTTTGTTTGGTTGCTTGTCTAATCCTTATCCATGAGCTCCCGAATTCCCCTTGGCTGTCCATATACTAAGTAGGTACCATTTCTCCCGTTGTCGCCGAAAAAAAAGAAACCAATAGAGCACAAAAAACATAAGCAAAGTCCTCCTTTCACGAGGCTGCGCGCAAGAACCATAATCAAACGTCCTCGGGTGCTTCCTCGCCAAGGCAGCTTCCGTCAATCCCCAACCCAAAAAAAGGACAATGATTAGTCGAGAGCGTGCAGACTTCAGTCTTCGTCTGGCGGGTTTTTGGAAAAATAAAATCAAGGGAAAACAAAATATCAAAGAATCGCGCGAGCCTTTTCATCCAGCCATACCCTGACCAATGTCACCTTGGTTGCCTTTTGAGTTTGAAAATACAGTCAATCCACTTCCCTATTCGTCTCTCATCGCCTGAGACTCGTCTTCGCCAACACCAGGAAGAAACCTTCCCGGCGTCAAAAGATAGTCAATCGTACACATAATCATGATTAGGGTTAGGCTCGCCCGCGCTTCCTCACTCTCAGCCTTGTTCCTCTCCCGGGCGAATATAATATAATAAAAGAAATCCATGAGTAAGGCTTCAGTTCGGAGATCGCGCCTCTTGATTCTCCCTGGCCGATTCCACCACTATTCTCTCCGAGCTCAGCATCTTGACTCATGATTCAGCCTTCCCCTCTGCCCGTCATGATCACCGTTTCTCTTAGTGGTAGTTGCCGCCCCAGCCACCACGCTGTTGCTGCTGGCCACCGTAGTAGCCTCCGCTTCCAAAACCTCCCTGGCCGTAGTTTGCGTAGGGAGTAGATCCGTGCTGGTTTCCGGCTCCGGCACCTCCCATGCCGTATCCGCTACCGCCGTGAAGCCCATGACCCTGGAGGTGGCTGGGATATCCAGCATATGCACCTGCACCCATCTGGGACGTAGGTGGTGGTGGGAGTCCGCTCTGTCCAGCGGGAGCACTGCCCGACGCACTAGCAGTCGCCGATCCAGGTCGAGCTCCGCCCAGAGAAGGAGATGGCCCAGCACCAGACTTGGATTCTCCGAAAGGCTTCAGGTCATCGCCGGCAGCTCCATTCCCTTGCTGGGTCTGGCTGCTGAATCCCTGTGCCTGTGACTGGAATGTAGATGAGCCACGAGCAAAGCTGTCGTGAACACTACCAAATCCGCTGCCACCAAGTCCAGGTGCTCCAGCAGTTTGAGCTGAGCCACCGCGGCCGTAATCTCCAAGACCAGATCCAAGGGCCGAGTCCCTGTGAGCTGAAGTCTGCGCGAATGAAGCGGGAGAGTTTGTGTGGTCGAAAGGAGCATTAGGGGTCACACCGTATGGCTGGCCATACATACCTGCCTTGCCATACGGTCCAAAACCACCCTGTCCGTAGCCGGCATAGTACTGGTTATAGTATGGGTTGCTGTAGTATGGGTGATTATATCCGGGGAATCCCTGCTGTTGCCCGTGCGACTGTGGCTGGGAACCCGGGGCGCCCTGTTGAGGCTGCTGTTGCTGAGCCTGCTGTTGGGCTTGCTGTTGAGCTTGCTGAGCCTGCGAAGTAGGGTTGGGTGTCGAGTGTCCACTGTTCTGAGCGTCATTGCTACCGGCACCGAATCTGGGCTGGTTATGGACAGCGGCGCTCTGGGGGTATTGGCTCAAGTTATCGGCTTGCTGTGTGGGGTTGTAGCTGCCAAAGGGTCGCTGACCCTCTTGGCCTTGCGCACCCTGCTGCCCAAACTGCCCGTAGTAATTATAAGGAGTTCGATCATTTGCGGTATAGTAGGAGGAGTAGTCGCTAGGAGCAGAGCTGAAGGGAGCACCTGGCTGCTGGCTCTGCTGCTGGGAGGCATGCGCCGGGAATGCATCGAATGGAGGTTGAGATGAGGGAGTGTTTTGAGGGTGGAAAGGGTCGAGCGGCTTTTGAGGCCCGCCAGGGGTTTCCTGAGCGCCAGCCTGTCCATATCGACCGAACTGTTGGTTAGGAGGCTGGGTCGCGGCTACAACACAGTTAGTCGTACTCATCAATGGACGGTGATCGGATGTATCATACCTGGGCCTGTAGGAGCGACCTGTGCAGCAGGGGCTTGAGGCACTACTTAAAGATTAGCGGGGCGCTTGGAAAAAGCAAAACAAGGGCGAGCTTACCAGCAGCACTGGGACCAGTAGGTATAGCCTTGTGTTCAACACCTGAGGCAGGTTGGGAAACGGGAGGGAGAGAGGTTCGAGGGTGCGAAATGGGAGAGTCAGCAGGAGGTTGGGCACGAGTCTCAGGATCCTCGCGCTCGCCGTCGACGTCATCATCGCCTCCACTCAGGTTGAATGCACCAAACTGGACGGCAGCACGGTCGACTTCACGGTTTCCAGGTAGACGGACGGCTTCCTCCTGGTCGAGAACACGTCGCTGGTAAGAAGGTGTGCGGACAGCCCTCTCTGCAGTCGCCTTGATTGCGGAGGTTGCGTAACCGCTTGTCTGTCGTTGAACCTGGTGTTGCTGCTGAGCAGCTGAGAGTGGTGTAGCACTGGTGCTAGGAGGATTCTGTCGAGGATCCCAAGAATCAGCCGTTGTGCTCGCAGCCGTTTGAGTGGCGGGGGGATTGGATTCATCAACAACCTGTTCAAGATTCGTCTTTGTGAGTTCGTCATGGGAGGGGGAGAGGGCGACTTCGGGTTCAATAATAGCAGCGGGGGGGATGGCAGCAGTAGCAGCACTGATGGTTTCCACAACGGGGGTAGATTCCTCTTCAGCTGCGACAGGCTCGGGTTCGGGGGCGGGGACGGCAGGTTCGATAGTCGGCTCGGGTTCAGCTGGTTGTTCAGCAGGAGGTGCGGGAGCAGGGATCTCTTTTGGTATCGGGGCAGGCTTAGGGGCGGTCGACTGTCGAAGCATACTGGCCCAGGTCTTAGCCTGGGGAGCTACTGGTTTCGTGGCTTCAGGAGCAGAAGCGGCAGCCTTCTCAAGCAAAGGTTCGCTTTTGTCCTCAGCGGCATCGATAGTGGCTTCGTCCTTGGGGAAAGCGGTGGACTCTTCAGTAGGAACGGAAAGCTGTTGGCCCTCCTTGGTGTGTCGGGGGCCATTGGTTGTGGGCTGAGAGGACCGGCCTCGACCACCGCGACCTCCTCGATCCGTAGCCCTGCCTCTCCCACGGCCACCCTCAGTAGCACTGCGGCCTCCGCGAGAGGATCGAGGCGCAACTGTCGATTCGGTGGACGCGCCAGGAGTGTCCTTCGCCTTCGATCGAACAGGCTTCTTGGGCTTGGAGACTTCACCCCACTGAGAAATGTTACCTGGAAATTGCGACATTAGTATCTAGTGCCTCCATCCCGTACCATGCAGATTATCCCATTTTCGCAAGGAGAGAGTGGATGGGGGTCTGGGTAGCACATACCTTCAGCAATGCGTGTCACGGCTTCGTTCTGGTCACCATTGGTTTCTTGGAGGGCAAAAAGCACGTCGACCTCAGACCAATCAGGGAACATCTCACGGATCACTGAGGTCTTATCGCCGTATTGCCGCCGCAGCTCCCCGATGTCACCCTCATCGTCGAATGCACTGGCTGAGTCTTGCGTGGCATGAGCGTCTGCCTTGTCACCGTTTGTTCTTCGACCACCGCGACCGGCAAAACCTCCTCTACCACCGCGACCAGAGCCTCGACCGCGCGAGGCGGATGGCCGTGAAGCGACCTCGGACATGAAGATTGGTTTAAATGGGATGAATTTGGGCGAGCAACAGAAGGAGGAACCGTCAGCTGTCCTCTGCTAGGAGCGACAAGCGGATGGTCTCGAATAGCAACACAATCGTGGTCGCGGATTGATGAAGGCGACGATTTGATTAGTGGAAGAAAAGAAATAACAAGGAGAAAACAAGTGATGGCACGTTGCGGGGGAAATCGATAGGGCGAAGCGGTTTTGCCCAGACAAGAGTGAAGCGAGGTTGCAAGAGGTGAGATTGGGGAGGAAGGTTTTTGACTTTAGCGGCTGGTGACGCCCCTTTGCGCCCACCTTGGCCTGACGCGGGTCGCTGTAAGACGAGAACACCAGCACCAGTTACCGCCCTACGTACCCTGAGCACCTTACCTAAGGCGTCGGTAGGTCAGTGCGGCTACGTAGCACAACCGGCTTTGTAGCTCTACTGGTAAAAGAGACCGGCGCTAAGTACCTCCCAGCACACAGACACGCGAGAAGATACTCAAAGCCTCATGTCTCCCTAGGATCTGGTACATTGCCCATTTTTCCTCAGCTCCTTCATCGCCCCAGATTGTCCACCATTGTGGCAGTTGCAAGGTAGGCCCATCCTAATCCAGCCACAGCTCTGCCTGTTTTGAATGTGGGGGGATTGTCTAGCTTTCAACTCCCTGTAGCGAGTCCTCAAGCGAGAGAACAGCTCCTTCTGAATAATAAAATTACAATTCTTCTCCCATTGTGATATGCCGTAAGGGAGAGAATGGTGCAGAGGCAAACTTCTGCTACTTGACACAGCCGGGCTGCCTATTGGGCCCAGAATCGCCTTGCATCAGGTGGCAAGGTCCCCATACGTGCGACTTGTCAAGCCACCCACACAAGATCCGCTCCAGGTTCGGATTTGACCGCGCATGTATGCCTGACATGAGGAAATTGGTTTCCCGGTGATGCCAATGGCTTTCTACCGTCGCACATGCTTTCTTAGGCATAGGAGATGCCTCCGATTCCAGGAAAATTCCCGCCTGCGTCGAGAGTTTAGGGTTCCCAGTTAGTCGAACCTGAAAGTGCGATTCAGATCTCAGCCAATCAAGATCGGAAAGGAGGGGCTCAAGCTCCCACGTAGCTCCAACACGGACTGCGATTGAGGTCACCCATCACGTGAGCAATGTACATTAGCGAGGCAAACGTCGCCTTCCGAAGCCCACTCTCGCTACGACGGCTCTCGGGACCAAAAAGGTATCACAGTGACCTGAAAGCATCGCATAACGCCACTGTCAATAATCATGACAGGCTTTCTTCCAGGCGTATACATCCCCCTAGCCTGCCCATACTCAATAATTAGAACTGTTTTACTACCATGTCTTTCATTGCCCTGTCATTGGCTAGATGTGTCTGTAATTTCGTGAAGTCTCCCAGGCTTGTGCGCTATTGCCGCTCGTGAGGATCAAATTCAAAACAAACCTAATAAGACATCCTCATATACTTTCTGAGCCCATTGTATGTCCAATTAGTATTTTTGGATCTCGATTGCCATTTGTTCAGGGGGTCTACCCTCCCTGACAGTGATGATGATCACGTGATTCAGATTCGGTGAATCACTTCTTATCGATATCGGTGAGTTATACCTATTCATCACTTCGCTCAGGAATCATAGACTAAACTATTTTTGTCATCATGTCCACCCACCTCGAACCATGAAGAGTCAGCCTATCATGACGCAACTTTAACCAATCCTCGCCCTCGTCCTCAACAGCATCCAGCTTGTGAAGTCGATCAATTGATCTAGAACAATGCTTATCTGCTAGCTATATATACGTCAGCTCAGCTTTGAGGCTCTCTCCAGCGACAACCCCGAAAACATGTACTCCACCAAGGCTGTTCACGCCTTTAAGAATCTCTTCTCGCGGTATCACGAACCGACCGCCCTCTCCAAAACACAAGCCCAAAAGCTCCTGGAAGGTCTCAAATCTTCATTTCGAGATCAACTAGACCGAGAACATGGCCACAACGTTAGCGACATCAAGAGAACCAAGATAGCAGCCCCGACCACCTCGGCAGAACTCAGAACCTCGCCGACTGATCAGCATCTAAAGACGTTGCTTTCAAATCCCCTGTTCAGCTACAATGAGCCCACGGAAAGCCCTCCATCGGGTCCCGCTATGATCCCAAACCAACGGGACCCGATGAATGTCTTTGATCATGCCGTATCAAAAGGAATGATGACGGTTCGAGCGGCAACTGGCTGTTTAATAGCAAAACGCAAGCAAATGAAAGCTACACAAGGGGATTCATCCGTATTGGATGGCTCTGACACTGCCCTGCGGGTTCTACGTTGGATACGGTCGTCGAGGTCAGCAAACAATCTGGATTTCTTGGATAACAGACCCTTTGTCAATGCCCTGATGCCATTCTTGATATCAGAAGGCCTCGAAAACGTCGCATGGGAATGGGTCACCCGGTCCTTGCGCTCTGCTGCGGAAGAAGCTGATCACGCAGCTCAACATGGCAGAGCTGAATTTGTTCTCAGCAACTTGGTTGCTGTGAAAGGGTTACCCCAATACGGAGACCTGGATGCTGCCATCGTGACTCTGTTACGTGCACAAAATGCTTACCAAGCAAGTCCTTTCCTCTCAGAGCTGCTTTGGAAGCCATGGCGATCAATATCATGGCTCTCCACCGTCGAGTCACACTCGAGGGCGGCGCCAAACGAGATCCTTTACAATGCACATGTCGCAACGGCTGAGAAGTTCGCTTCCTCGGTGGCAGTCGAGCAGGCACACTTGAGCTTATGGCATCCCACTCACCCCAGTGTGAACCAGGCACTCAGTCTCTTCCGCGACACCGGCAAGATGGACGGGGTGATGAAATCGATTAGCAAGGAGGGGAAGTACTCCTCCAAGAATAACCGGATGAAGCTGGGCCAGTGGCTCGTTGTCCTTGGTCACGATACCGTGGATGTGCTTGCTCGATCTGGGCGGGCCCGTGAAGCCAAGGAGGTGGCTGAACTTCTCAAGATGGAACTATCAGACTATCACCACCAACACCAGACGCTACAACTCACTTGAGACGATGTACTCTCAATTCCAAAATCACTTCAAGCCATCTGAAGATTGCGAATATCGCAAACAAGTGGGATATGGTTACCACCACCTAACCAAACCAACTTGATTTTTGCAAGGATAGCCACTCTCTGCTCCAATCACGGCTCAAGCTCGTATTGAAGACCAATATTAGTCCTCAAAGACTTGGCTTGCTGCTCCTCCTTGGAATAGGGGTTGGTAGGCATACGAATCTCACCCGCGGTTCAATGCTGATCAGCTGCCCTTCACGCATTTAACCCGCTTTGATTCGTGGTAACAAATGCCAAACCAAAGACTTCAGCGGCACAATTGATACCCAACAACTTTTTGCTTTCTATGTATATTCTAGCATATTCACGAACCTGTGTGAGCTAAGAAAAGAAAACGGATGGGTCAACCCGAACAACTGAGAAACATCCTAGGACCATATGCCATATCGCCTGCCCTGATACAGCTGAGTACCAAAAAAAAACAAGAGTTATCCCGAGAGTTCGTATAGAATATACTCGTCGTACGAATATCTAAGCGCGAACCCTGGACTAAGTTTTCAGGATGATTCTTCCTCTTTTTATGCTCAGCTTCATCAGGGCTGACTATATGGCACATGGTCCTAGGGTGTTTCTCAGTTGCTCGAGTTGACCCGGACGCTTTCTTCTTCTTATTTGCTCACACATATTGTAACGAGATCAACGCACATAGCACTACAATGTCAATACGAAACTCTTATTCTGTAATTTATCAGTTTCAAATAGCAATAGCCTATCTGCTTTCAAGGCTACTCGGAGGGTATATGCGTACATACTTTTTCTTCATCATGGCGTAACATGTATCTTTTCAAACAAGAACGAAATCTACTAAATGAGTGCAGTATGAGCCATCCAGATCGTAGCTCAGGTCCTTTAACTTTTGACATGTCTAATCCGTAAAAGATAGCAAGCAAGGAACGCCAAAATTACACCCATTTCAAGCCTTCTTCATCAAACCAAATAAAAAGGGAGGAAAGGGGGGCTCAAGAAGGGCCGGCCTCATCGTCGTCCTCGACCTCGAAGACGCCAGAAATGTCCCATCGATCGCCCTTGGCGCTCTGGCTGACGTACTTGACAAACTTGAGAACCCCGCTGTCCCGGAGGACGAGGGTGAGCTTGTTCCAGGCGGCGTTCTGGTAGAAGAGGATGTTGTCGTCGTCGGCGGCGGCGGTGTTGTAGACGGCCGCGTCCTCGTCTGCGTCGTCTGCGCCGGCCATGTAGACTTCGTGGCCGCCGACGTCGTCTTCCTCGGAAGCACTGGCTTCCGGTTTGGCCTTCTCTTTGCCTTTGCCTTTGCCGTTTGTGCTGGCCTCCTCGCCGTTCTGTTCCTCGGCGTCTTCTTCGTCTCCTTCTTCTTCTTCTTCCTCTTCGCCCCAGCCAGAAGAGGGTGTGATGCCAAGGTTGAACTCAAGTCGGGCCTTGCCGTCGTGGCCGGTGGCCAGTGTGTAATCCTTTCCGGGGCGGAAACGACGGGCGATAATGTCATGCGACTCAATGGTCGTGCCGGTTGCCAGTTGGAGCCAGTGGCGGAACTGGCGACTGGGCAAGAAGACATCAAGAAGCTCTGTCAGCGGAGACTCATCTTGCGATGTGCGAATGCCGTCTGGGCCATGGGGGTGTTGGTAAAGATAGCGGAGCTTGTGAGGTGGTCGCGCTACCTTCCAAGGCGTCGTCTTTTCCAGCTCGGCGCTGTCTTCAGTAAGAGGCTTCTTGTCCTGTTCGGAAATATATTCCTTGAGCTTCTTGGAGAAACTCTTGGACAGGATATCTGTCAGCGTGATGCTAGAGTTTTCCTCGAAATGCTCAGAAACCTGCTCCAGAAGGTCCGGAGTCAGGTAGTTTGGCGAGATATACTTGAGCAGGAACTCTAGGTCTGCCTCCTCAAACTCCAGATCGCTGGACGACGGCTTCTCGACCTTGACGGGGGAGGCCTTGGGGGTGTCGTACTGCGCGGGGTTGCCCTGCAGCTGCATCAAGCCACTGTTCTTGGCGTTCCTCTCTTCCTCGCCTTCAATGTACCCGTCCTCGCCGGGCTGGGGGATATGGAACCAGCCGCTGATGGCCATCCTGACGCGGCCGCCATCCTTGGCGAGCTGCTCGGCAGACTCGGCGCGATACACCTCCTCGACGTCGTGGAAGCTCTCCCCCGGCTGGACGGCGAAGAAGCTGAGCTGGTTCCAGGCGGGGGGGATCACCTTGGACGGGTCGGGTAGGGGCGTCTTTGCGACCTCGCCGTCCTTGCCCTCGATCTCCTGGACGGGGAACAGGCGCAGCGCACCACCCCACTCGGGCTTCCAAGTGGTGTCTGGGTCAACGAGGTAGAGGATGTAGCTGACTCTGCGACTGCCGATGACGTCGTCGTGGCAGAGGAGGAAGCACCCGGGGGTGTAGATGTTGATGGCCAGATCCGTCTTCTTCCCGCTCAATGGGCCGCAATTCGTGATGTGAGACACATAGTTGCGGAACGTCTCCGAGTAGATGGCATCGCGGAGGGACTTGAGCGACGGCAGCTTGGAGAGCGACTCGTCGTCCAGGCCGTCGAGGTTGGCGAGGTCGCCGGACTGGTGGATCTTGTAGATGTCGGTCTCCTTGGGAGTGAAGCTGACGTTCTCCTTGATCTCGGTGCGTACGTTGCGGAGAAGCTGGTCGTCGACAAGCTGGTGGATCACAGCATGCTTGTAAGGCGCGGAATTGGCGTATTCTGCGGTGTAGGCGTCGGTCACATCCTGGTCAAAGAGACCCTTGCGGAATCGCTCCTTGGCTTTTTCGGGAGAGAGGGCTGCAGGGCAATGGCTTGTTAGCGGAAGAGTGCTGGAAGAGCGACGATGGCTGGCCGCAAAGCTCGGTGAGAGCGGGATTCGCAGCTAGCGACAAAAGACGGTGTTGAAGGCTTACAAGTCTTGGGTTTCTTCAGGCCGGCGTCGCTCCGGCCGTTCTGGGAGGTTGCCTCAGCCTTGCGCTTCATTTTGGAAGATGTCAACAGGATCAATTGCTCTGTCACGCAAACTGGGAACGAGAGGGAAGAGGAATTGGATGGTACAGGAGGGGAAAACTCGGGATCGGTGCTGGAAGGCAGTGTGGGCAGTGGTCTTATATCGCAGAATTTTTATTTTCTCTCCAGCACTCGCGCACCACCCTGGAGCTCCCAAACCCGTCCTCAGACCATGGTCATCATCGCATGATCACCCACTCCTCATATGTAGGCAAAATCCTTATGCAAGACGACCTAGTCCTTGTTCCTATCCATCCGATAAGTGCCTTCTTTTTGCAGACAATTCGCGCCAGAGCCTGGCCTATTGGAACCCGTTGACCTACACTTGGTGTATTCCATTTTGTCTAAGAAGCATCCACCATGCATCTTAGGCGGCTACACAACCCACCACACATCCCCTTCTTACTCTTGGGCCTGTAAGGACAAAGTTACACCCTCCTTGATTGACCAACAATTGATGTTGCGGTCAATAAGCGCTATTGGCCGCATCAACGTCCACACCAGCAGCCATGTAACCCTCTTTGCCCTCTTGCAAGTCTGAAGCAGCTAGTTTGCTGACTGGCTGGCTCCTGAAGGCGTCTCTTAGAAGCTTGATCAATTGGTCCGGCGAATACTTTCCCTCCCACTATGTATGCAATTTATAGGCGAGAAGGAGGAGGGAAGCTGACATTGTGTATATAGCGTCAACTGATTGAATACCTTCTTCTTGAATTGGCTACCTTATGCCAAACCCGGATGGAGCAGTGGCCACCCCGTGCAGATCGGATGCATCGTACGCTCGCCTACTGCTTCGCCGCAGAGCCATGGATATCAGACATAAAAGATACGTGGTACAATATAATTATTAAGACACTTAGCAACCAAAGTACCAACCTACAAGATAACGATTCCCGCCGCATTACTTTCGCTGACCAACCAAAGAACGACATGATTTGAAATCTGATTTACATGGTAAAATGTAGAGCGAGAGTAGCCCAAAGATGCTCATCCATTCCCCATGCCACCAGCCCGCGCATTCCCGCTTCAGGTTTCCTTGCCCTTCGTACTCCATCACACAAAACAGCCTCTTTACAGAGCAAAGAGCAGGGCCAGGGCCGCGCCGATCGAGCCGGAGAAGGGGGTGAGCCCAGACGCCGCGCCGGTACCGGACTGCTGAGAAGCCGAGTTCGTGGTCGTCGAGGTGCTCTGGGTAGTGGTCGTTGCGGTGTTGGAGGCGCCGGAGGTTGATGCGCTGCCGCTGGCACTGGCACTGGCCGAGCCGCTGGACGAGGCGCTCGCGCTGCCAGAGGTAGTGGAAGAGCCGGACTTGCACACGACCTGGTCGGGGATGGTCACGTCGGCGGTAGAGCAGATCTGCTTAGCGAAGGTGACGGCAGCGGCCTTGCCGGAGGCGTCGCAGTCCTTGTCGAGGCAGCAGGCGATGCCGTCGAGGAACTCGGTGTTGCTGCAGATGCACTTGATGTCGAGCTGGGCGCAGTTGGCGATCTGGGTTCCGGTGGTGTACTGGACGAGACATGATTTCTGTTATCGTCGCAAACATGTCATGTTAGCTCGCTACCCTCGGCACCGCTTCAGTTGGATTGATGGAGAGAAAGGGACTCTTCCTTACAGCGCAATCGGGGACGTCCTCAAGCTGGGCAGAGGCAAAGCCCGCGGCAAGGGCCAGGATGATCGGGGTGGCAATGAACTTCATTTTCGCAGGGCAAATCGGCTGGCTAAATTGAGGATATTGGACTTTGACGAGAGGTGAAGGGACAGAGTGGGAATGGAGAGCAAGTTGGGACGCGACGATCAGGTCTGGGGCTGACAACTAGCTCCCGGTCCCTCTCTTTAATATCTCCTAGCACCTAGGCATGGATAAATTACCCACGATACCTCAGACTACTGCAGGATCGAGGGAGGCCGGCAAGTATCTTACCCAGCCAAGCCATGATATGGATTGATTTTATTAGGTCCTGTCATCCTGCAGGCAATAATATGGATTGATGGCAGCGTGCCGATGAACCTAAACCCTATTTGGGGCTGACGACTCCGCTTCCGAGTGATGCCGGTTTAATTGGCTGCCTAGTCGAGAAGTCAGGTCTTGAAGCGCGCCACTTCAAGAGTGTTCAAGGCACGAGACAGGAGAAAAGCGGGCATTGGAGGAGCAGCCCCAGACTCAGATTGGTGCTAATCCCCAGCTGCTCCACACCAGAGTTGGCTGGAGCAGCCCAGTGAAACTAACAATTGCCCCGGGAACCCGCGGCATCGCAGTCTAGAGCAAGCCCGAGGTCTGTATACGAATGTTCGTGTGTGCATGTTTTGCTTGTTTGTTGCCCTGCTATTTACCATTGGACTGTTATGTGGATGAGACTATGTGGTTGGTGGACGTATGTATTATCTGGCCACCACCCCAAGATAGGCCCCCTCCCAACCTTCCCTGCCTGCAGGGAATCGCTTGTGTATGTAGAACTCCTCCCGGAAGCACTGGCTCTGAGCCAACTTGAGCGTAGGTGTGTGTAGCATTGGAATCCTCAGACCTCCAATAGGTTGCTTCCACCATCCAGCTCGAATTGGCCCCCTGTTTCAAGATTGGCCATCTCGATCTTCACTGCCAACAAGATTCACACTCTTTTTCCTTGCTTCAGGAGATCTGATACTTTTGGCGGCAGCACCAATGCACCCCTGTCGTTTCGGCGATAGAAGTCTACCAATGACACAGCTGTCTTCTCAGGCAGGTCTTCATGGATGAAATGACCAGCCTCGGGAAACACCTGAAGTGCATACTTGCCTGGGAGCAGAAGAAATAACATTAGCATTTGACTATTGCAGGCGGAGAGCTCATAAAGCACGTTCCCGAATATACCGGGAGGGTTTCTTACCTTGCATTTGGCCGATTGTCAACTCCGTATCAAGTCGATCGGTGCCCGCTAGAAGAAGTAGTTTGCCCCCCTTGGCCCCAAGAAACTTTTTGCTGAGCCCAACGAACCAATCCTCCCAGAATGGTTGTGATGCTGCGAGGTTGGTCCTCCATTTCCAGGGCCTGGTGTCGTTCTCTTGCCGGTTTTCTGGCAATACCAGAAGAGCCGGCACAGAAGTACGAGCTGAGATGGAGTTCCTAATTGTTCGGGATCTCACGTGCCACTCTATTCCAGCCTCCAAGGAGACGAAGCCCCCAGGCCGTGTTGAGAGATAGGTCTGCATGCTCTGCAGGGCATCCATTGCCGAGCCCTCGACCACATCAAGAACTGCATAGCCCAGTAGAGAAGTTCCCAGTTTACCTGATTTCGCCAGCTCGGTGACGACAGCGCCGCCCAGTGAATGCCCAACCAGCATGATAGGGGGCAGCTCTTGCCATCTCATCTCCGATTTAGTTAATTGAATAACCGCATGGAGGTCTGAGGAGAGTGTTTCGAGACGGAGATCCAGGTCTGGGCCTTCGGGGGCCGTGGTTGAGCCATGGCCTCGACAATCAATTGCCAAAATCCCTGCTGACGGTAGTCTCTTCCTTATTTCTGAGCTTACTACCGCGAATGAGAGCCCCGAGGATCCGGCCCCGTGGTGCATGACAAACAGCGGCCCTTTTTCGACCGGTGAGCTCAGATATGCGTGATAGACTATCCCGGAATTTTCTGGCTGGTGAAGGTAGAGCTCTCTTTCAAAATACGTTGTCCATGGTATTTGTTCAAGGGTTCTACCTCGTGCGAAACTGTGCCTCTCTCTTCAGCCTCTCTCGCCACTAGTGGTATCAATACTTTTCAGGTTGGTGTCGAACTCACCTCTGAGGTCTGGCGAAAAGCTTCTGGTTGGGCGATGGGATGATGGTTCCTGTTGATGAAACCGAAGAGGCAGAGGACGAATCATCGTCCATTTGATCTGGAAGATCGCCCAGCTGGTCAGACTCCTGGTATTCATCTTCCTCAATGAAAACATCTTGGGGGAATCCCACTTTCTGCCTGGCCCAGGCACGTTGTAGCTCGCTCATTTCAGGGGTTCTAGAATAGAGATAAGAGAAACTTAGAAGTGCGCTTTGGCTCAGCCCATTTCAGGCTTGCAGTGTCTGGCTGGTCGGCGGAGCGTATGTAGGAATTGGCTCAGTTAACGCCGTGTAGCCACTGAATGTCCTGTTTGGCCTCTCCAAATGACCTGCATGGGAAGATGGAAGAGATCAAAGAAACCTGTGTCCTCCCACTGTCCGTCAATCAACCATATACAAACGGACAGGTGCAATGCGTAGGATGTTGTTGGGTGACAATGCGGCCTAGGTTAGGTGCCGGTCTTGGGTGCGCTGATCTGATAGGGGAATCAACCCCACATAGAATTTTCAATGGATCTCGCTATCTATTCCACAATGGCAGTCACGCTACAGTATTGGGTATTCGTATGATCTCCTACGGCACGGGCATGTTGGGTCGATCCAATAGCCTCTAGCTCCCGACAAGAATAGATGTGCATTAGTCAGTGGCCGGGGGACTTGATTATGAGAAAGGTAACGAGCCCCCAACCCGAGGCTGCCTCGTCAACCCGCCATGCTGCCCAATCCAGGGACTGGCAGTCAGATGGCAGATGGCACTGCCCTTTACTTCATGGCGTTGACATAGTGGGAACGAAGGATAAACCCATGCTCGGGAATCCATTGCAAGCGATAATAGAGGGAAAAAGAAGAAAAGACGCAGGAAACGGCTGTCCCTCTTTCATCTCTTTCCCTATCTGCTCATGCACACCATTTGATTGGGGGTGATCGCATCTCTGCCGCCAATTGGCTATTGAAAGACCCGGGATTTATTAGAGGGAGCAGGAGTAGTGCGAACTTGCCTACCACGACGAGCCACCTAGAATGCAATAGAGATTTGGGCCCGTCTCTTCCAGAGAATCAGGGGGGACAATAGACCTACACCATCTCGCCAGTGTCGACCAGCACAGCGGGCATCATTACAGACTGCGCTTTGTGCTCGTGATCCCTCTTCATTTCAGGAAGGCATTTTTCATCGTGCATTTATGAGTCTTGGTTCCTCGGGAACCGAGACAATTTTCTGGAATGATCGAGAGCTTCGGAGTAAAGATAACCATATGCCATTTATTTGGCCGGTTAGGCTATCCGTGCACAAAGGTAACAGAATGTGTAATTAAAACTGGGCATATCGCCAAGTTGAAGATATGTCAGAAATGGTGAGGCGGTCTCATCGACTAAATGAGAATGGGTGGAGCGTTAGCCATGAGATGATGTCTTGGTTTTATTGAATATAATGGACACTCTTGTGCTTCATTTGACTCAGGTATGATTTTTCCTCGTGTCAACTCCCCGCACCGCCAAAAGGCGGCAGAGATACTCGTACGACAAGGACACATTCCCATGATGGGCCAATCGGTAGGCGTGCGGCTTGTCACATCTCTTGTGCATATGTAGGCAGTTGTAGCTCGAGACATTTGCCACGCAACTACATAAGACCCACGCAGCGATACTAGTCTCTGAGCAGGAAGAGGTCGTTGTAAACACACCCCATGGGAGACGAATGCCAACCTCCACGTTTCACCGAGAACGACGAAGTGCTTGGATCCCTGGCCACGACAGCATATCATTGCATGAACAAACTCCTCGTCATGCAGCTGAGCGACCTGATTGGTCTCAAGTGGATTGATAGAAAAGCGTTACCTATTGTCATTCAAGTAGGTAGGCGTGTTGAGTGGGAACGGATAGCGGCTCCTCCGTGACAAGGTTAGGTTCCTGTTGCTTTGAAATACATACAGACAAGCAGCTTGGGCAGCTTGGCAGCGTCATTGGGTTAGCTCCGCCTGTGGTTTCAAACAGCTTGTTCCAGCCGCAGTAATGATTGGCCAGTGACGAGGGTGCCGAAACCAAAGGGGCGATTGTTCCTCCTAGCTAGGAGGCTGAGCGGGATACCTCCCAGGGTCAGCCGGCATCTTCTAGGTCTGCCACCAAACCAAAGCCTCCCGCGAAACCCCGCGAACTATGGGGGGCAGATGCGATGGTATGCAGACCAAGGTTGAGAATCCATGTCGGTGAATTCCACCTTTCAAACAAGGTGCCCATTGGCGCGACCTCCCTCATGAGAACGGCAGAAGACTGTGTTGGAAGGTGCCGAACAAGACCTGCAATTGCTTATTTGACCTCCTGAGTTTTGGGTTAGTACTTGGCAGGCACCAACGAGAGGCCCAACCTTCCCAATGAGTTGGCCAGTCCGCCCAATTGCCCCACAAGCAGCAGAGGCGCTGCTCTGCACATGGCCGTTCTTTCTTGTGACGTATAGTATTTCCTCCATCATGCGCTACGGAGTTTTTGGCGTCTTTTTCTGTCAAGTTACACGAGGAAAAAGTGATGCATGATCGACGTTAGCTGTTCGGTCGCTCGTAGCCGACGGGACCTCTTGAACCCTGCAACAAACCCCTGTGACTCCACACTGCGATGGAGTTGTCTTCTCCCGCCAGTGGGCTCAACAAAAGAAAAGAAAACACACACAGAGCAACTTCTACTGCCGGCACACAGAAACCCAATGGGTTAGAAAGATCGGGCTCCCCATTGGAAAGAACCGGAAGCATGCCTGCATGGAGTATGTGACGTTCACATCCCTGGCAAGAGAAAAAAACTCACCACCATCCGAGGCATCGGGTAGGTGGTTTTCATGGGACGCACGGACATACCGAAGGAATTGCAACAAGATGCCTCATCCGCGCACAATTCTCGAGACGCAGGAGTTCATTGAAACGGAGAGGCCGTTTGTAGCCAGACTCGAAGGTCCTTTTCTCTTGTTCCGTCGGTCTGGCCGGTCCAGACCAAAGTCGACTCGATCTAGCTGCATGTCCGATCACGGTATGGCTTTGCAAGAAAAAAGGAAGCATGTATTGATTCTCCCAAGGGTTTCCGATCGGTCACCTATCCGAGGTGTGATCGGCTTGCTTGCTCAAATCCACCTCCCACTCGAGGCTCGAGAACATGGTGTGTGCTGATCAACGAGGGTGTAAGACCTGGGCACCGAATATTGAATGAGGTCAGAAACTTGCTCAATCAAAATTGGAGGTACCTTCTCCTGTTTGTCTCCAGGCTTGGCCTAGCTGCAGTAGCAATGATCCCTTGCACAAATCAGTGCAAGACTTGCTGCATCCTCAAAGGGCATCAACCATGTCCACTCTAGCTCACCCTCATCAGCTTTGCACTGAGTCCCGATACACTCAGCCCTGTCTAGGGATGTTTGACTAACCCTCTCTCTTTCCTTCTCTTTCCTTTTTCTTTGGGGTTTCCCTTTTGGGAGCACCTAAGCGAAAGGGGGATGAAACTTTGAATACATTATGTACCGAGGAGAATGATGACATTCGTTGCAGGTCGCTCATCTCCGCGTATACCAGCGTATAGCAGAGCATGGCGCGGTCGATATGGACTGGCCGATCCTACTCCCCCATGTACGCACAAAAATGCTTGTCCAGGCAACAAGAAAGTCTTGGAGCCCGAGAGCGCTGCCAATGTTTCCCCAAGCTGCCATATCTCGACCACTGGGGACAGGGGTCATGGCAGGAGAGCGAATGACTCTGATTCAAGGGAACCCTGATATTAACCTGCAGCAATGCATGTACCAACCACAATCCAAAGCGCCCAAGCGCGCCGCCTTTTCTATTAAACTGAATCTGCCAGTGACCAAATCGTCCTAGGGCCTTGACCTGAGCAGACCGGCGGAGCTGATACTTTGACCCTAAGCTGATCTGCATTTGCACTTCTGCCATTGACGCGATGTCTTCTTGGACTGTGTACCTAGTAGGTGGTCCTTTGGAGACTCTGAAGCCGAGGCTGATATTGGACCATTCAAACAAACCCCTTGACCATATTACTATTTCCCGATGATCAAACCTTCCCGAAAGCCAGTCATACTGTTTCGTCCGGGGTTTTGACAAGCTTAGTCTGCCTCCTGTTGCTCCACGCAATTGCATCTTGCTCCTGTAAAAATTCGCTTTCTGGCTGTCTCCTATTTCACCACTACCCCCAGTGTGTCAACTCCGCCTCAACAAGGAAGGCAAGTAGGAAAAGTAGACGGAAATACGAGATCTTGGGGGGCAGGTCAAAATTTTCGATCTGATCTCTTTACACGCCCCTTACTTCATTATGCTTTTGCCTGCCTTCATATGCAGGACAGGACAGCCCCTGAGTAACTTCTCGAATAACGAACAATAAGAGTCAGCGCACGGCAGATTCATTCATCAGCACTGTCCCTCAGCACGCACGTCGTTAGTCGAGCCACATGGCCTTTCATTGATCTCTCAGAGAAGAATCGTCGAAATCTCACTCCCAATTCGTCGCCGAGAGCGGAGGGGGTTCATAACTCCCCCCCTCCCCAAACATCGGGCTCATCTAAGCACCCCCCTCCACCCTCCTTCGGCAGTCACTCCCAGAGTCTCGTGGAGAACTGTCTCATTCATTCTGGTCGTTCTAGTTTTCCGTCGGCCACGGCCTGAGCGCGCATCTTTAAGTAGTTGAGGTTACTTTTTCGAGAGGAACGTCTCTGAGCCGGCTGAATCGATCTGTAGCCCCCTGAGACCCTAGAGATACAACAAGCGTCTTGTCTCTAGTCATACCACCCTTGTTCATACTGCCAAGCCACTCATCTGGCCGTTTGCGCTGAATCCATCGACGAAAAACTGACCTGCAGACGTAGGCACTCTTCGACCAATCACAATCACAACGAACGGGCATTTGGATGAATCTGGCATTGAATCATTTGCCACTCCAGTCGTCTGGCCAGTCCCCAGCCCTCTTAGGCTGAGTACTTGTAGCTGAAAGAAAAACCTAATCATATATCAATACACGACGACGTCCAGGCATTGGCGCTTTCCGACCTCTGTGGTTAAATTCTTTCCTTTGCCCCTTGGGAGCACCTTATAGTCCTCTACTTTCCTGGTAAGATTGCATTCCCAGCCACCTCAATCCAACGTAATTACAGTTATCATATTTGATTCTCACCATTGACCAAGGCCAGGGTGCCATCTAACGGCAAAATCCGCCTTAGCATTGGCATATCTGACAGAATATTGTAAGCTAGGTGCCGGCCGGCGTTTCGAAAGCGCAGAAAGCGCACGCGCTTTCTACTGGCCTCTAGCTGCCAAGTCTTCAATCGGCATTTCCCTAGCTCCCAGAGGAGAAACGATACCCTTGAGAGCTTCACCGGAACCTAAAGCGGGTAAGATGTCTCGAGGATATCCTGGTCCGCCCCCAGACTATGGTCCAGGATATGGCAATCCGGAGTATGCTCATCCTCACGATGGTGTCGCGCAATCGAGGCTTCCATCGTCAACAGATCCCAACCTCCGTTGGTATATGGACCCATCACTTCCAAACTCAGAATATGCTACGCACTCGCACATGCATGGGGGAGCTGGCAGTCAATCGCTATCCGGCTTAGCCGGCGAGAAGAGAAGGAATAAATTGGGTTATCACCGTACCTCTGTGGCATGCAGTGAGTAAACAGCAGCGTGTTCATCGTGGAATTTCAAACCTTCTAATGCTATTCCAATACACAAGACCATTGCCGTCGACGGAAAATTCGATGTATTCCAACGCCACACGACTTTCACGGACGCTGCACAAACTGCATCCGATTGAAGAAGGAGTGTAGCTTTATCCCTACCGATCAACAAGCAAGCGAAGCACAGTCCGGATCTTTTGATCCGCATTCTGATGGCGGGATTGCTTCGAATACGTCCTCTCCTGGCCCGCCCGGGATAGAAACGAACTCAGACTATTCGAGCCATGTTCACCCTGCCTTCCGTGCAGAAACCTCCTCGCCGTGGTCACAGCCTGATGACCGCAACCCAAGCAGTAAGTTTCCACGCTCGAGATGATGACAAACATAAGGATTTTGAACTTGGCTGAACTCTCAAAGTCAGTAGGGGTGGGATGCACTCGGATAGTCGTTTTGACTTTGGCGACCAGACATCCCGAGGTTATACGCCGACAGGCCAAAATTCACCAATGCATCTCGGCGCTACCAACAACAATGAACATTGGAGACGACAGCATTCTGGCTCCACTACGAACGACCCAGGTCAAGGGAGGTCATTTGTCCCTGGAACAACCTCCCGGCAGGATCTGGGATGGAGAGGCCCATTACCTCCGGCAGCCGTTTTTGGGGACAAGGCTAGGGGAAGCTCTGGTCGTGTAGGAAACCCTCTTGTACGCCCAGATGCAATCCCCTCTTCTGCCCCGGGCTACGCAAACGCAAGTAGCACGCCAATGGGGGCACCGATGCATGACGTGCCTATCCCATATCCGCCGATGCAGCCAAAACCGTTGCCTTCGCAAGCATTGGGAACATGGCACCGCCAAGATTCTGCTTCTGAACCTCAGTCAAGCTTTTCACCTTGGATATACCCACACAACAGTACGAGAAATGCTGGCAATGGCTCCTCGGAGAACTAACCCGCGTAGCAAGGTGGCTGGCTCAAGTTTGACATGCAGGAACTCAGCATGTACTCGAAAGCAGCACCAAATAACGGGGGATCAATCCTCTCAATGTATGATCCAAGTGCATCGTGCAACGCGAAATGTGCGCTCATTTGGTACATGCGGTTGGCTGGTAGGGGTTGAAATTGAGGGGGTAGAGCAGGGAATGAGTGATGAAGTTGGAACGTCTTACATTGGTTAACTTGAGGATTATTTGCATGGCGAAGGTAAAATGGCCACGGCAAACGGAAAAGTTTTGAGAATTAGTTGTTGGTATCTTCTAATCTATGAGGGTTAACGTCGAACTAGCTCGTATGTTCTCGACGAGGTTATTAAACCTCGATCATTACTGAGTACAATAGAGATTGATAATTGTCATTGTCTGGCTCGAATCCAAGAAATATTTTAGACCGAAGTATATATTATGATACTGGGTAACAGAAAATTTAGGAAGGTCTCAAAGGATGCGGACTATACACAATGTACCGTCAACGCTGTAGTCCAAAGATCTTTGTGCAGACACAATGAGACCAGGCTGTGGCGCGGTATATGCAAAAATACATTTACTAACATACAAAGGAGAGATCCTCCTTTCTATAACGAGAAAGTAAGGGAAGAAAAACACGTCCTATTCATAGACACCAATGTCACGTCCACTACTCTGCGCAGCTATTGTTCTTCAGAGTCTTTCACCGCCCAACCCGTGTCAAGTGCAGAAAGCGAGGATGAATACACCATGACCTTACTGGACTGCTGGCCGAAAGGCTACGCATTGACCGGCTTAGCGAGAGATTGGTTACCAGCAATGTAAAGAATGGTCCGGCTAGTTGTAATATACGAGCGGGGAGCAGGTCAGTTTGCCAACGTACTTCTTTTGTTCGGTTTGTCTCCGCGAGAATAAAGCAAAAATGAAATCAAGGGAGACTTATCCTAGTACTTCTAGACGGGCGACCTCGCGTTCTGAATCTATCTAGTACTTGACCACAGATCCTTTCCCGCAACGCACTGCTCCCCTATTTTCTTACTGCCCATCTAAATTCTTGGAGAAATATCCAAGTCAGCGTTCCTCGTTTGAAGATTTCGTCAGCTACTCAAAAAGTAAAGGCCCCCCTATTTACTATAGCCATGGTTAAACTGCCCAACGAGGTCTTGAACCGAGTCTTTGAAGAGGCCCGTTTGGCGGAAATCAGTTTTGTTAAACTCTTGAGAGTCCTAAACTATAACGGCCAGCTTTACTTTGACTGGCGCGGCCATCCTATCTTTACTGAGGCCACCTTCCCTAGGTTTGACCCGGCTTCTACGGATCCCGGTCCCTTTGAAGAGAGGAACCAGCTAGATTTTCGAGTTCTTAGGCGCGTAGAGGACTGGTGGAACAACAGGCGCCCTACTGAGGCTCCTCTTCATCCCAAGGCGCCACTTCGTTGGACGAATGCGGCAGCCCGACGCATTGCCCTCGGAGACAACCCCGTTGAGCTCAAAATACAAACGGGACTGCTGGACGAGTCGAAACACAAATACAAGGGGGGCTTCTTCATGCCAAACTCGAAGTTCGATGCACTCAACGTCTCAAAAGTAATTTTGAACTCAACCTTGGATATACTCTGTCTTCAAGTGGGAGATTTGTCTGACCATTACCCCAGTATGGATAACGACAAATTCGTCGTACCACTCTCGGAACCTTACCCTGACACAGTCCGAATCTCGAACCTGGCTGTTGAGTTCCACGGCCCAACAACTCGGGTGTGGTGTAGAAGCTGTCTCGACAGATTCGATGGCAGAGACTTTGTTCACGACCCAAACGGCTGCAACAAGTCGGTAGACGCCACGTGCTACAGACAGCCATGCGACGAAGAGTACTGCGGAGATTGCGAGAAATGTGCCGAAACTTCAAACCACCACGGCGCCATATTCGACCTACTGAAGCATTTCCCGGCGGCAGGCACCCTCTTCTTGATAGACTGGGCTTATGAGCCCGTGGGTGCCGATCCTGACCCGTCTACCGCCCACGCCTCCAGCGGGGACTACGACTTCTTCCTGGTGGAAAAGGGTGCAGGGGAGGGGAGGTGGCGAGCCGAGCGCCCTTGCCCCTTCGAGTCGCTATATTGCGCCGAAAGTATAGAGAAGGGTTTCAAGTGGCACCTGGCCGTGGAGCAGATTAGCCTCAAGGATGAAATAGCCGCCGTGCACAAAAGTCTGGCCAGTCAGAAGTTATGGGGGCCAGAAAGCGGCTGGGATGATTCACAGCTGGAGCTTAGAGAAGAACGGGAGGAAAAGGCTCAACGCCTACCGCTGAAATTGGATGCCACTCGGAGGATGGCAGAGCGGGGGCTTAGATGCCAGGTCCTGGCTGCGGTGAAGAAGAAGAAATTCTCTTCCAAGAAGAACTCGACGGAAAGCGTGGCAGGGAGTAGTGGTCAGGCCACAAAGAGGCGGCTGGGTGGCAGCGAACATGAGCGTGGGCCGCAAGCAAAGCGGAGAGCATAGGACACGCTACAGAGGGCCAAAGAGACGGAGTGATAGCTATATATTTCGCTGCGACCTTTCTATCTCAATGAATACATCTACAAGTTATTGCATTACTTTTGATTTTTGCTTGGCTATGACTTCGTTGGAATCACCTTTCCAGGAGATTTCCGAGAGGACATAATAGAATGTACCCACAATATCATGAAATTAATCGAGCTCTGGATTCGAAGCGAACTAGCTCAGTGCCTTATTAGTGACATTTCGACGTATTGTTCTTAGCCTCGAGTGCAAACATTGAGCTGGCAATGTTCTCGAAACAGTACCCTAAACCTCTATCGACACCACGCACAACATAAATTTAGTTCAATACTACTCGTAAATTGGCACACTTCCAAATACTCTATAACCTTGGAATCGAGACAATGGCCTTGTATAAGGTAGACTGCTTGTTCTGAGTTCCTATAAATCTCTATAACACCAACCGCCAAGTCAACACCAGAAGGGCTAAATACGCGCAGAGGCTTAACCCCGTCAACAGAGTGACCGTATCGCCACTCGTGCGGAATTTAGGCTTGAACCGGCCGCTGCGGTTCTGCGCAGTGAAGAACTGGCGCTGGCCCTCGTAGCGACGGTGGATGGCTACAAGCAGGATGGCGACGCCGTAGATGGCAAAGAGAGCACCGATAGGGTAGAACTCAGCAGTGAAGATCTTTAGGATGACCAGAGCAAAGGAGAACTGCCCTAGGGCCGTACGGATGTATGCGCCTTCAAACGTGCGCTGGGCAGCGCGAAGCTCGACTAGTCTTCAGGACGGGCCAATGTAAGTACGGTGATTACGGAAGAATGGCGGCATTTGTAGACGCATGAGCTTACTCTTGAGATGTGAGGACGAGCGACCTAGTCCCATGAAGGCGCATATATAGATGCTGCTCGGGATGCGACTGCATTCTGGTGTTTAGCGAGGCCGAGTGCTTGCGAGAGTTTGGTGGAGACCTACCCGGAACATGGTGGATAGGTGTGGTTCCTGAGGAATACCTTGGAGGCACACCTTGTAGAAGTACGTGCTGGTTTTGTATCGATGGTTCTGCTGGCCTGGATGGTCGCGCTGGGACTGAAGAAAAAGAATAGCTACATGCGTGAGGTTCTACGCGAAGCGGAAAATTATGCCATGTCTGAGGGCAAGTTCAATTGTGTCACTGGAGTGACGAGCGAAGTCCAAATGATGGCGTTCACGAGATTAGATTTGTCACGTGGATATCGCTTGGCGCCGACAGGCATTGGATTGCAGCAGCTCGATACTACTATACTCAATTTAGCCATCCATTGCCCAGTAATTATCCTAATTACTTAGGTGAATGCGGAGTTGACTATCTAGTTTGGAAAATTACAAAAGACCGTGAGGTTTTCTACAGCTCGTGGTATAGATGGGCAGCAGCAAATAGTCTCAAGTTGTGGTTGGCCACGGAGAAAGCTGCTAGGCTATTACCAGGGTGCCCGTCTCTCAGAGTCCTATAGTGGAGATTCCGGGGTTCGATTTCACCCATCACCGATGGAGAGCAAATCACACCACACGGGTGTTTTCTAACATTGCAATTTGCAATACCTGAGGATCGCAGACCATACAGCACAGCCTTAGATCCTAGACGATAAATTCGATACATTTTCCACTTACATCTGGAAAGCTTCCGGTACGGTGGGTCTGCGCGCAGCAGTCGTCCCATTGCAGCAGTGCCACAGTCGCGATGGGGATTAATTAAAGGTGCCCAAGCCCCCAGCCACTGCGGCATCTGGTGAGGAGGGGTAATAAGAGTTGGGCGATTAGCCCATAAAACGAGCTGTAGCATCCGCTGCTGCCAGGGACTGCGCCTCAGCCCTACAATGCTTGGAAGCCAGATCAGACACCCCAGGCAGTGGACTTGGCCTGAGATAGAAAGAGGGCTGACCACGTTACCCGCGATGTGTCTGCCAAAAGGGGACGGGAGGAGGGGCCAGTGTAGCAACGACGAGGGGATGCATGGACTCTGCACATTTGTTGCCAACGGGCGGCTGTACGGGAGGTAGCACTGCATCCACATCCGAGAAAAGGATGGCAGTGCCAGCGCATGCCCAACAGCTGAGCTCTCATATTACTGGCGTCACACGGAATCTGTGCCGTTGACGCCAATAACGGCCTGTTAAGAAACCAGCGCAGATATTATCCGGCAGTGGTGAGAAGGATCGGTGTTAGACTTCCGTGGCTGCCTGTGGTGTCTAACGCTGGGAGAATGCGATCGCCTGGGGGTTGATGTCATGATGAAACAAAGAGCGGCGCTTGGGCCGCCCGAGTACAGCAGCAATCACAACCTCGGCAGGGTCTAGGAGAGTGATTTTTTGCATCTTGACCGTGTTTTAACTGAGAAAATGTGATCAAGTGGGTGGAAAACGCCTTGTGCCTGTGGCTAGGAATGGCTTTCAACCTGGGCGTGGGGCATGAGGCTTGGGCCAAGCTCTGGAATGCGCCTAACGGCCCCAGAAGAAACAGTTGCCCCGGGGCAGCCTTGCAGGTGCACAAGTACCCGCGATGTACCGATGAGCTTCTGCCAGCCCAGGAAATTGCACATTGGCGAAACCAAGTCGATGACGTGAAACAGGACAGAGGCCCCAGCGAAGCATTGCAGACACACATGAGCGGACTTTTGCTCTGCGATCTGATCGGGCCATGGCCCAGTCCTCAACCACAAGGCACTCTCTCAGCTCCACCGACAAGGTTCCTCCAGTGTACTGATAGCCGGCCCCACATCAACGATACGATGCAGACATGGAATTCTCCCGCGCTTGTGGCCGTCCACGACATTAATCCATTTTGCTAGTTTGTCGACGCAGCTACCCTTGCACTGGGTCGCAGTGTGTGTGATTCGGGAAATACCACTTGCTGGAGTGCTGGAGTAGTTGGAGCCAGAGTTTATCCTGCCGCGCTTTCATCAGAGCTGCCGGCCCTGACCAGCTGCGCGACGCTCCGTGCACAGTACTGCATACAGCTGAGAGTCGGATTATTAATCCCGTCTCACCCTGGGTAGGAATATGAGATGTATGCATCTATGTGGTGAAGCTGTGGTGCACTGTGATCGCACAATGCAACCCGAGGAGTGGTGATGAGGAGCTGGCCCCAGCCGATCGCCCTCGATGGCCATCAAACAAACCACTGCTTGCTTCGGGAGCATCCTTGGCTGCCTCTAATAATAAGTGTCGTGCAGCCCTGCCAGTGAGGTCTGGCGCTGGCGGTACTCACTAAACCGTCCCGGGCGCGTGGGTGGAGGGCGCCTGGCTTCAGCAGTACCAGCAGGGTACCAGCAGCCCCGGTAAGCGCTGCGCTTGGGCCAGGTACCTGCGAGTGTCGAGCGGGGACCCAACCTCAGCGCGCCTCCAGGGTGGCAGCATCCATTGAATCTGCTCCAATAGACGAGGGGCTCGTCCAGGACTCTCAAGCCCCACCGTCAACTCGCTCAATCAACCATCCCCGGCCTGTTCAACTATCAGCCAGGCCGAAAGCCCAGCCTGGATCCTCCCCCCTCCGTCCTGCTCACTCGCGCTGGGAGGAGCCAACAGGCGTTTTACCTGCTTACAGTCCTTAAAAACATCCCTCCATTATCGCCGTCCCCCCTGTCGCTCCCAAGCCACCCACGGGCTGTGGCCAATATCGCACACACCAGCCGCCAGAACAGCCCCACGATCTCCTCTACCCCATCCATCCATCCTCAGCCCAGTTCATATGAGTTATCTCCCGCATCAGCCTGCGCGCCCTTCACCGCATAACGCACTCCGACGCTATAATCCCATGTGCCTGCGCCCATCGACATTGTCCCGTCCGTGCCATGGCTAGTTACCTGATCCCACGCCCTTGACTTCACGCCCCCGATCCCCCGCGACAGTCACTGCTAGACTTGCCTTGCCCTGCCAGCCAGCCTGCCTGCTTTGACGTTACACCGGGACCCGGGCGACATCACCTCCTTTGCTTGGGCTACTTCCAAGGTACTTCACCACTGGATCCAGAGGTATCCATCTTGTCAGCCTCAGCCGTTTGACCTGCTTTCACTAGTATCGTCTGATCCGCGGCCCGCCGCACCTTTCTCAACCTCCCGCTTTCTCTTCTACAACAGGGTCAATACATACATATTCTGCTCTCCCACATATCAGACAGTCCGTCCGCGGCTGTCTCTCGAAAGAGATCGTCGTAATCATGAGTTCGGCATACGCCAATCCTCTCCACGCCCACCTTAACCAAGAGCCCGTCTTCATCCCACTAGAGGACCCTGACTCACTCTCCCCGCCCTCGGCTCATCACCTCGAGACCCCAGGCGCATCGACGTCGAATCTCAGCAACTACCAAGCCAGTGATATCAGTGACCTAGAAGACGATCCCTTCTTCGGCGCGGATTTCAGTTCTGCCGAAGGTGGTGTCCCTTCGTTTCTTCAGAGCGAAAACCCCGGCTGGGACACTTCGCCATTCTCCATCAGCAACCGCTCCTCTGCTGCGTCTGAGGCGTTCCGTCATGCCGTCGAATCTACATATCCCTTGACGCCAGAACAATCGGCCTCTATCCGACCACCTTCACCACACAGCGATCGCAGACCGACCGTCACGCGACACGTCTCAGAGACCCTCCCAAAATCCATATCGCCTCAGCAATTACAAAAGCCGTTCCCTACAATCATGACACAGTCCTCGCAGCTCACACCTGACCAGAGCAGTAGCGGGCGGTCTAGCGAGGATGGTCTTGCCCCAGGCAACTTTGATACTCGTGCTGCTAGCCCCCGCATCTCGGTATCCTTCTTCGACCATGAAGCAAACGGCATAGCGCGGACTGTTGTTGAGCGCTCACTGCATGAGAGCCCAACTGCTCTGCATGGCGGATTTCAGGCGGCAGGAGACTTGATCACCTCAAGCCGTAACGATGACGCCCAGCCCTTTACATCCAGAGACGAAATGGGGCGATGGCAGCGTGATCTTCGCACAGGCCAGGCGGGGCTCGATCCCCTCAGCCGACCAGCTGACGAGTTGCCGGTCTCGATGAATGAGCTTGCCAACATGCAAAAAGTTGATGAAAGAAACCAGGATGTCAACAGGTGGCTGAGCGGCAATGATCGTCCTGTCGCCGACGAGCCTTTGATTGAAGATCCCCAAAACATTCAGACTATCGACCAGTCGCGGGACTACCAGGACGATGGAATTCCTCTTGGCGATAATACTGAGAATCGTGCCGTTCCTGGCCAAACTTATTATGCTGGAGAGGGTGGCAAGATTAACGAGCAGGATGTCGAGATTATCGCATCAAATCGCAACTGGGCTGATGCTCCTATTTTGCCTCATATTCGTAGAGAAACCCCTGGCAGACACCAGCCGCAAACTTCACAGGCCGCCATTGAGCGCTTTGAGTTGTTGTGTCGCGATAACGACTCGATCCTCTCCAGGTCTGCGACGTGGGGCACCCGCCGGCGCAGTATTCACAGTGTCGCTGACCTGGACGAGGAGGGGATTCTGAGTGGAAATTTCCTCAGGAAGTTGACAATTAGCCGTGGGGGCGATCGCGGAACAGATCTCGGGAACCGAGCTGGAAGTCTGTTGAAAGATCTCCGGGGTTTTGTTCGACGGCCTAGTGTCAGCTCTCTGCGCAAGGGGCGCCGCGGCAGCGCCTCTGGTGAGGAATTGGCCAACCGCGAACAGGAAGAAAGGCCGTCGATGGAAAAACGAGATAGTGTAGGCTCGCCACACCTTTCCCTACCTGATAGATCGCCCAGCTGGACTGTCAAGAATAAGCCTGCTCTGAGCCTTGTGGCTTCATTCATGGGCAATAGTCCTCAGCATGCTCGCAAGAATTCTACGGGCGGAGTACCTTCAGCGTCACCTAGGAGCACCTTCTCAGGCCTGAAAGTGAGCAATAGTCTCAAGCGGCCACGCAGCAGATCGGAA